CACAAATTGTATTTTCATTAAATATAAGTGATGTTGACCTTGTAATTGCAAAAATACAAAAATCATCTGATTAATGATTTGAATGTTTGAAAACGAGGGGTCACGTGACTTGAATGCAAGTCTTTGAGAATTTGTTGAAATTTTAATTTGTTGAGAGTTGACTTGTTTGGCACTTGGATTTCGGTGCTTGGACTTGTGCTTGAATTTAATTTGATTTGAAGAAGACTTTAATTTTCTTGAACTTATCTTGAACCTGTTTGATTTGAAAAAGATTTTTATTTTCTTGGGGTTCACCGAATTTAGATTTAAGAGGATTTCTTACCTTTGCTCCAGCTTTGGAATATTTTCAATAATTTGTGATTGTTTTCTCTACTTTCACTTCTTCCTCTGTCTTATGGAACATTGGTCTTATTTGTAGAGGAAAATCATGCTAATTTTGTTAATCGCTCAATTATATTTAATTAAAATAAATAATTGAGTAACTATGATTTTATTTATTTATTTATTTATTTAAAAAGGGAGATGGGCTTTTGGATTTTATGGATATTAGTAGACTTAAAATTTAATTGAGCTAATTGTTTAAATCGACCAAATCCATTTTATTTATTTATTTATTTTTATGTCTACAATTACCCAAATTGGATCGAACTTACCAGTTTCTACAGAAAAATCAAAATTTACATTAGAAATTAATTTGGCTACAAGTTAGAATTTTATATATTGCCCATATCTGAGCCACATGCTTTAAAATTTATTTTTTCTCTGACTTATTTTCAATAACATATTATTTCAATAAAATAGTTTTGTATGTAAAATTAAGATATTTCCTTGCTTTTTTAGTTGCACATTCTAAAAAAAATCTCTCTTTTTACAAAATCTATTTTTATAAACTCAAATAAAGGCATAATATTAGAGACAGGCATTTGAAATTTGATTTGAAATTAAGGTCAAGGCAAAGAAATCAAAATGTTGTTAGTATTTAAGGTTAACTGATTAATTTAGGGGAAATTTCACTATCGGTCTATAATCTATAAACTTTGCCCAATTCTTTTCATTATTGTATGTATCTTGACAGCATGTCCCTAACTTATTAGTTTTAGAGCAATGTTGGTCCTTAGTGACATATTTTATTTAGAATAATGCAATCTAATACCAATAATATTAAAATGTCAGTCTAAGCAGTTACATTTGATAGATTCAATTAAATAAATCATATAACATTTCATTTAAGTAAGCATATCATTTAACGTTATACAGTTGCTATTTAGACTTATACTTGATAGCAGCAGTGTTAAATATCATTACTCTTTTGTTTAATTGGCTGCTGAAAAGTCAAAACTTATTTTGAAAAGAAAACTTTAGTATTTTACCTTAGTTTTAAAACAAAGTAAAAAAAAAAAAAAACTAAAAATAAAATTAAAAAATCCTTGGCTGATGACCAACAACACAACAAAATAAATAGATTGGGGACCATGCTATCAATAACGATATATTAGGGATGATAATGCAATAAAGTTTATATTGGGTTCCAACAGTGTAATAGATAAAGTAGAGAAGGAGAGAAGGCCACGTACACACCACATGAACTTTACAAAACATTTTAGTCCTTAAGGTCTTATTACCACTCGCGTCCCCTACTTCGTAGAGCACACGCACTTCAATATTCTTAAAAGTTAATTCTAAGCGCCAATTTTCCTTTCTTCAGTCTTTAAGTCTTTAACAGAATAATGTGTCCACCAATTTTCGTTTCTAAACAAGTCATTTTTTTTTTTTTTTTGGTCAAGTTTTCTAAAAGATATCATTATCTTTTCAAAAGCGTTACAAAATTTAGTGTTTTTGAATTATCTACTAGGACTGGACAATACTTTGAAATAGAACCGAATTGAGTCGAATTGAGCGATTCTATTTAAGTTAAATACCCAAAGAATATTTGAATCGAGAATTGACGGGTTCGGTTAGATTTTCGGTTCTAAATTAAAAACCGAATAACAATCGAATTTTCCTAAATTTTTAATTTATTTATTTTAAATAAGCCAAATTATTTTATTTTTTTAAAAATAAATTTGCTAACTAGTTAATTTAGTGCAAACCCAAAATATGATTTTTCTATTTTAATTTTCAGTCTAAACTCAACTTAATCAAATTGACCTAGATTTTATCCAAAACTGTTATTCTACCATAGTGTCGTTTCTAATGTTTTAGATAAATCGAATTGAAGCTCAATAGTGTCTCTCTTAATTATTATGAGTTCGTTATCTTCTTTTTCCAAGGATATTTTAGAAAGGGCGTTAAATCATATTGCATGATTGAGTGATCATATTTAGAAATAATAATAATAATAATAATAATAATAATAATAATAATAATAATAATAATAATAATAATTGTTGTGATGACAAATTTTATTTTCACCTAAAATATATAGACTATCCAAAACGAGATTTTAAATTTTATAATTATCAAGATATTTAACTTCGTTGTATCAAGTAGATTTCATTTATCATCCTTTATTATAAAACAAATCTAAAAAAGTGGATATACGCCTTACTGTAATCGATGAAATGAATTTAATCACACTTGTATTAGCTTAGATTATTTTTAATTTTTTATTCTTAGTTAGTGATTTTCATTCACTTTTGCACTCTTTTTTGGCAATGCTTACATGGTGGTTATTATAACGGTTCTTTTTACTCCTAGAAAACGTTCGAGTGATAGATGCTGTGACCTATGATTTAGTGATGGATCGATCGATGTCCGAAAAATGCTTGCCCGAAGGAATGAGTCGCAAGATGAATTGTAAGCCCCAAAAATAAAGATCCAAATACAGAAGAGATTAAAAAGATTATCATTAATTCGAACAAGGAAATTGCCTCAGTTAGAGCAAAGCCCAAAATGACATAACCAAATAAATATTTTGCCAATGATGTATTTCACGAAATGAATCGAGGAATTAAGGACGTTTCCAAATCGACAGTAGCTCCCCTTCCACTCAATCCCTACAAATCATTCTGAGATCGTAGAAATGTAATATCAAACATTTCAAATAACGATTTTAACAATATTAGAGGTGAACACGCTTGCTAATAGTGTGTGATAATTGGCATGTTAGAAAATATTCTGTGTGGCCTCAACTCAATTGTCCTCATTCACCCTATGAATGATTGCACATTCGAAGTGGAATGACTTTGAATTACAACCTAAGAACATGTCCCTCCCAACATCACCCCAACCCCAACAGCTCCTTACAATTCTACCAAATTGTACTTTTGTGATGCTTTGGCTAAATCATTGGGTGAGATTTGAACTACAAACTTTTATATTTAAACATTCTTTTCCAAAAATTTGATTAAAAAAAATGGTAATTAGCATAAAATATTTTTATCTTTCAATGTTATTGTGTAAAACGTTCACACCTTTCATTTTTTGGCACTTTTACCCTTACATTTATCTTTTATTGCGAAAATCATCATTTTTATCAAAATTTTCATGTAAAATGACGAATATATCTCATATTTAAATAAAAAAAGAAAAAAGAAAAGAGAAGTTAAAGTATAAATTGCAATCATATTTCAAAACTTTTTAAAAAGTGCAAATGAGTCCAAATAAATTATTAAAATGGTAATTAATATAAAACGTTCATACCTTTCATTATTATTGTACAAAATATTCATATATTTCATTTTTGACATTTTTCATCCTTAATTTATATTTCATTGTAAAAATCGTTATTTTTATCTATTTTTTCAATTAAAAGATGTAAAATAACAAATATGCACTCATCTTTAAATAAACATAAATAAAAAAAATAAATTAAAGAACAAATTACAATTATATTTCCAAAATTTTCAAAAAAAGTACAAATAAATTCCAAATAAATAATTAAAAAAGAAAGTGCTATTTGGAATTTGTTTGTACTTCTTTTGAAAAATTTTGGAGTCTAGTTATAATTTGCTCTTTATTTTTCTTTTCTTTATTTTTGTTTATTTAAAGAGGAGGGTATATTTGTTATTTTATAGCTTTTAACTAAAAAAAGGATGAAAATAATAATTTTTGCAATGAAATATAAAAATAAGGGTGAAAATATAAAAAAAATCAAAGATAGGGACGTTTTGTGCTAATTACTCTTTTAATAATTTATTTGGCCTCATTTGCACTTTTTAAAAAAGTTTTGGGAGTGTGATTGCAATTTATTCTTTAACTTTTCTTTTCTTTTTTATCATTTTATTTAAATATGAGGTATATTTGTCATTTTACACAAGAAATTTGATAAAAATGATGATTTCAACAATAAAAGGTGGATGCAAGGGTAAAAATCTCAAAATATGAAAGGTATAGATGTTTTGCACAATAATATTGAAAGATAATGATGCGTTGTGCTAATTACCCATAAAAAAAAGTACACTTAAGTGATTATCTATCGTAAATGTCATCTTCTCAATTGTGTGAACATGACTTAATACGTAGTATAAAGTCTAATTCTTTCAAAGTGGATCGAAGTGAAACTTTAGCAATATAAGGGAAATAATAAAATTGTATACAATCTAACTTTTCTCCACTCACAATGTAATCATATAACCCTTGGTATCTAGCCCCTTGGGGTATAGTCCAGTGGTGTAAAGGACAGGAGTGATGTTATCTCACACTTTATTGGCAGTCGCAGTGTGGGGGTTCGATTCCTGAAATATGGAATTAGACTCCTTGTAGGCGCAGTATACAGACAGCTCTTGTTCTCTGACCTATTGGGACACATCTCACGATTTAACTTCCTCAAAAAACTCTAGGGACGGGACGATGGGAACCCTCAAGGTTGGGGTTCAACCTTTATATAACCCCAGGTATCGTCTTTCCTAAAAGTATACCAAAAAAAATACTTGAAACAATGGAATATGAAGCTGTAGCTAGAGAAGTAAATTGTTTAAATTTATTATTCATTCTATGAAATTTAAATTCATGATATTATAAGAAGATGACAAATCAGCCCATCCCTTCAACCTTACTAGTGGTCCTCTGCCATTAATGCAATGATACCCCATTCTTATCCTACACTCCTTTTCTTCTCTTCCTCTTAATATGTGCACCATTCTATTCCTTTCTCTAAGCTTAAAAAAGCAAACAACTCCATTGACACCTGCTGCAGTTCTCCAGATTCAAATATGGCGACTTCATGTTCATCAGTGGTATGGAGCAGAGAAGAAGAGAGAGCTTTTGAAAATGCCATTGCAATGCACTGGATAGAGGACTCCAAGAATCAATGGGATAAGATTTCCTCAGTGGTTCCGAGCAAAAGCATTGGAGAGTTGAAGCACCATTATCAACTCCTTGTCGAAGATGTAACTGCAATTGAAGCAGGACATGTTCCATTACCCAATTATATTGGACAGGAAACATTCTCATCAATTAAGGATCATCATCAAGGGTTGCCTCCGGGTACATGTTCTATTGGACAATCCAGTTCTGGGTTTTCAGGATTAGGCCACGACTCAACTGGCATGGGTCAGGCATGTAAAGGAGGATCCAGGGCAGACCAAGAGCGCCGGAAAGGGATTCCGTGGACAGAAGAAGAGCACAGGTATGAGCCACTTTCATTAAGAAAAAACATTCTACTTTTTGAGTCCAAAGATTCATAAGTAAGCATGCTGAAAGTGAGCTGTTCATTCTTACCAGGTTATTTTTGCTTGGTCTGGACAAGTTTGGGAAAGGGGATTGGAGAAGCATTTCGAGAAACTTTGTCATATCCAGAACCCCCACACAAGTTGCAAGCCATGCCCAAAAGTACTTCATTCGACTCAATTCCATGAACAGAGACAGAAGGAGATCCAGCATCCATGACATCACTAGTGTGAACAGTGACGTGGCGTCTCATCGGGCACCGATCACTGGACAACAGATGAACCCCAATCCGAACAATGAAGCGGCACTTTCTCATGCAATTAAGCACAGAAACCAACCAAACATGCATGGTTTAGGCATGTACGGTGTAGGGCATCCAATTGCTGCTGCTCCTGGTCACATTGGATCCGCGGTTGGCACTTCTGTTTTGATTCCACCAGGACATCATCATCCCCCTTATGTTGTTCCGATGGCGTACCACATGCATCAATAACCAGTACCCACATCAATGCCCTGAGTCTCTGGACCCTGCTTTTAAAGTCCAATTGTTTATTGGTCTCCATTGTTAATGGCTTGTTGAAGTTGCATCGTACAATGACATTAGAGCGTGTTACCAACACAACTGTAAGAACACTTTTCAACTCTGTACATACCAGATAAAAGTTGACACAACGCAATTCTTGGAAAATAACAATGCCGGGATAAGAAGTTTCATTTTTCTGTTCCCCGAATGTAGATGTCAAAAGAAGCAAATAAGAATGACAATCTTCTTATTAAAACAGTTGGACTCCAAAAGAAACAAATTCTACATGATGTGCGATTACACTGAAACAAAACGTCAACCAAGATAGAAATTTCCACTGTTTACAACTCTCCAACTTAAAGCCGAAATAAAATGGCGAATCGTATAAAGAGCAACATTTTTTTGATGCTCAAGAACTAGCAATGCTGGTGCATCTAACAGTATGCTATTCATGTTAAGCAGCGAAAAGATGAGTTCTCAATACGTAGCTATAGAACTGTCTGCCGAACAAGTAGCTGATTTAGAAGCTGGCCATCCTCGGAATCGCCAAATATCAAAATGATCCAACTACGTACTTTTAATATCTGCCACTAGTGTTTATACGACTCTCAAGTAGTGCCTCAATTACTTAAAAAGGGAAAGATGACAACTCAGTGCACCCATTATAAAACATTGGATGAGATCTTGGTAAAATGAAAATGTGTTTCTTCTTCGAAGAACGGTAAATTGTCGGAATACTTTTAGTTTGGAAAAACAAAAATAGATATTACACTGCTCAAGTGAGGGCCAAAAACCTCATTTCAAGACACAATTGAGAAACACCAAGATTACCTCCCTAACTACGAATGAATATCTTGAAGATTAGTATGTGTAATGGTTGAAAGAGTTAGTAGAGCATTCAATGACTGAAAAGAACATATTGATGCCATTCAATGGATTATCAACAGAATAAAAGACCTTTATTATTCCAATTGAGTTTCCAACAGAACCCTACTCCGTAGAAGACGTTGAGTAAGGAGTAGAAAAGAAAGAAGAGGACATTCACTTCCAACCTGAGTCAAAAATGCTTATATTTCGGGCCAGAACTCACATCAGGAAAAAAAAAATTATAGGGTCAATTCTAACTTCTACTCAAACTTGAAGGTCAGAATGTTTTGGAAGGACAATTTTTTGGTTGAAGGAATAACGTTCAGAATAATACAAAAGGAAGTCTAGCTTTTGGTAATGGAGGAGGAAGAGGTAGTGGATGTCAATGTAACAGTGGAAGAGGTTCTTGGTTTCAAAGCAGACTTCAATATCAACTTTGTTGAAGAATTAGTTGTGTAGTACTGAGTTGCCACTACATTTTGATCTCAATTCCAACAACGACATGCGAGAGGGGGGAGGGGTCAAGTGACAGAAATGCTTGCCACTCAAGAGGTTGTCAATGGTACGAGGAAGTCTAGCTTTTGGTAATGGAGGAGGAAGAGGTAGTGGATGTCAATGTAACAGTGGAAGAGGTTCTTGGTTTCAAAGCAGACTTCAATATCAACTTTGTTGAAGAATTAGTTGTGTAGTACTGAGTTGCCACTACATTTTGATCTCAATTCCAACAACGACATGCGAGAGGGGGGAGGGGTCAAGTGACAGAAATGCTTGCCACTCAAGAGGTTGTCAATGGTACGAACAGGTATTCTTACTCATGAGCCTCACCATGTCAACGCTGATGCGGCAAGGTTGATGGAAAGACAAAATACTATGGAGCAGACCAAATTCAGGTTCAGGTACACATAGGCAATGAAAAGGGTTTATCCATTAAATATATTGGGCATTTTATCTTGTTTTCTCCTTATTCTTCCAAAAGTCTTTTGCTTAAACATCTTCAAATATTCCTACTATAACCAAAAATCTTGTCTTTCAAAAATTTCCAAGGATAACAATGTCCTCCTTAAGTTTCACATACATTCCATTTTTTTTTTTAATCAAAGAACATCTTTTCAAAACTGTACTATTGGAAGGGAAGCTGAAAAATGGACTCTAAATCTGATCACTCCCTGTTGAGAATCTCGATTGTATCAGAAAAACTTTGATTTGATTGTTACCAGATTTTTAGGGATAGTTTGTTGTATAATTTGTAAAGACGTGTTCTTTTACGATTCCAAGAAATCTAGATGTACATATGTTGATTTAGTTAGTACAGTTGTAGCTTAGCTCCCGGTGTAGATTTTGTTGTTTCTGGAGTATAAAGATACAACAGCTTACAAATTTATTTGAACAACGTAACGGGATGATCAACAGAATCAAAATGTTAATTCGAGTCCGCCAACTTCACGATATATCCTTAAGACGAATTTGCTCCCTTTAATAATGCTAAATGCACATAGCAATTTCTCATGTATAATTTTATGTCAAAATGCTAAATTTTATTAAAACTTTTTGGTAACGACTTAAATTATAAAATTTGGGTTGTTACAGTAGCAATGATAATGGTAGTGGATCGGGTAATATGTTCGTAATGGGTTGAGTCATATAGATATTGTGTTGGGCTGTTTTTTTTTTTTTTTTTTTTGAGATGGGGCTGATTTTAATGGGTGTAAAGTTTTGTGGTTCAAGTTATGAGTTACGGGCTTGGTAGTTTGGGTTTCTGGGTTTTATATTGTGGTAATATTGTTTTGAAGGACGATAGCAAATTGATGGTTCTTAATCATCTAGCATCAATTTGAGGTGGGTTTCAATGAGATTGACAAAGATTACGACTTACCAAATATTGTCCATTTAACATAATTTTGTATTTAATTACAATTACACATATCATATTTAAATTGTACTTATTCCTATAGAATGTAAGAAATCTCTATAGGAAATTATTCAATCAAAAGTTTGTCATGGTATTAGAGCTCATTAAACTCATTTGAGCAATTCATTTCGATTAAGGGCCTGTTTGACCCATATTATTACAAAAAAAATGCATTCTTAAACAGTGATTTGACATCATTTTCACTACAAATTCTTCAATAAAATAATATTACACACAAATCAAAAACTTTTCCTTATTTTTTTACCACACATTTTCCATCAATACACTATTCAAGAATGCATTATTACCAAAATAATATGGCTCAAACACCCCCTAAGACTCCAAAAATAAGCAAACGAATTTTAAGATTAGTTTACTCAAATGAGCTACCATCTTCTAGGGAGATTTTAAGATATAAAATCCTACATTGAATAAAAAGATGAAAAGATAGACTAATTTATAAGTGTTTGAGCTATTACTTTTAATAAGATTGACACTTTAAGTTGGAACTCAAAGCCTTAATTGACAAAGATTACGACTTAACCAAATATGTCCGTTTAACATAATTCTATAAATAATTTTGGATTGTACTTATTCAGTTATTCATATATGATGAAAGGATTCTTATGGAAAAATCATTCAATCAAAAGGTTGCCGTAAAGAAGACAGAAAAGACTTGAGTTGATATTACCCAAGTGTTGTGACTAGAACTGGAGGGTCTATAGTGTTAGAAGGCCCTTTATCCATGAAGAATTAAAAGGAAGATATTTTCTATGCCACAGTATTGGCAATTCCACCCTAACGAGGTGAATATGGATGATGTGGTACTCGTCTGGTACTACAAAATTTTAAGTACATTGCTTGTCAAGTTCCATTTTTTCAAAGAGCTCATCCCAACCGATCTTCTTAACTTTCTCCTTGTTCTTTGTAGTTTATCGCCCTATTATAGCATGTTGGAGACCAAACAGAGAGCCGACGCAGCCAGGACGTTAACTAATGACTACATATCATACAGTTTGTTGATTTCTAATTCCAATCTTTTTAGCGCCAATCTTTTCCTTCGTAGCGTTGCTCCTCCTCCTCCTCTCCTTAGTCAGTTTATCTTCACTTACTATTACTGGTCATCATTCTCTTTCTCATGGATCGTCCTGACATTTATATTTCTACATAGGCCAAAGTCAAGAAATATTGGGATTCAAGGCAGCGAAGCATGTCAAAGTTTAACATGAGGTTGCCAAAAGGCTCGAAGAGCTCAGAAAAGAAAGGCCTAGTGAGAGCCCAAGCCATTGATGCAATGTCTTCGGTTATTCGGTTCTTCTGTCCTACCTCAATCCTCAAGATCTTTCCTTCATTATATTCACCTCCCCATCCTCTTCGACACATGTCCCCGTGGATTAGGATTTCCCTCCTCCTGATGCGATGAGGTTTGATATTGAGACAATGCTGTGACGTCGCCAAGAAGCTTTCCTAGACTTCCTAAGGGCCCTTTCCCCTTCTGCCAACCTTATTGCAACCTTTCCATTACCACTAAAAGAACTTTGCTATCTTATTGGCGAGGAGTTGGACAGAGAGTAAACAATCCTTCCTTGATCAGATGAGAGTGGCTGAGGCATGTATTACTATAGAGTGTTAAGCCACAGATCTATCCTACATATGATGGCAGTTCCGACAGGTAAACAATTTTACTTTGACTGTTACTGTCTTATTTTATTATGCTTTGGCTAATGTGATATTTTTATAGGTCAATTCTGAAGTGGAAAAGGTGGTGAAGTTGGGCGATGAGACCTTGGCTATGCTGCCTATGCACCGAGCTATTGAAGCAAAGTGAACTTACCCTGCTGAAGAGGAAAAGACGTTGGAAGAGAATAAAAAAGAACTTAAGAATGCCTTGGCTACTAAGGAACTAACTGAGGTCGACCTTCGATTAGAGCTTCAGACTACAAAGATTGGGGGGGGGGGAGGGGGGAAAGCCAATGCCTGGGCTAATTCTAATAAGAAAAAGGCTTTGGAAGAGAAAAGACGAGCTGATGAGGCAATCGCTAAACGCTAAAACTCTCAAAATTGTTGAGAAGTGGTGAGAGTCTTTAGCATTTGATGCATTGGCCCATGACATTTATGTGACTGGTTTGGTTGAGTTGATTAAACATATAGAGAGAATGAGGACAAAATTTAATGTGGGCTTCCTTCACGAGGTGTTGGCAGAGCACAAAAATTTTTAGGCTCAGATGTTGGTGTTATTTCCTCTTAGGATCCTCCAAATGTTGATCATTTTCACAGTGCTATCGTTCCTGCTCAAGTGGACCTTTCTTATGTTTGACTATTGCTATATTTTTGTAGTCTTTTTCATTTTCTTGTGATTTATTTCCTAATTTTGTCAATCTTTTAATGAAACGAGAAAGATTCTTATTTTTTAAATGT